TACTTCTCTCCCCCACCCCACCCCCTCCCTCCCCTCGCAAACCCCTAGATGTTATCGCCAGTCGCCGGCGGGAGGCCTGGGAATCCACGGAACAGGACTCCACCCCCGGCGTGCTGCCCTCCTTCAAAGAGAAGCCCACGCACGTGACCTACCAGCAGGGCGAAGAAGCCAAGCTGGAGTGTTCCGTCAACAACCTGGGCACTAAAAAGGTGAGCAGAATATCGCACGCCAGATGGTCCAAGGCTGTAATAGTCGGTTGTTGTTGTTGTTGTTGTTTTGGTGTTGTTGTTTTGTTGTTATTGTTTTGGGGGTTGTTTGTTGTTGTTGTTTTTTTTTGGGGGGGGGGGGTTGTTTTTTCCGTCGTTTTTTTTTTTTTTTTTTTTTTTTTTTGCTGTTTTTTTATTTTTTTGTTTCTTGGTCGTGCCCTACCTCTGTCACCATTATGTCTTGGCATCTCTCTAAACAAGGCAGCGGGTGGTTGGGGGAGGGAATCGCAACTGGTAGGTCCTACTTCTTAACTTTCTCTCTGTTGTTTCTGTCTGTATTATTACCTTTTTCCAGATACTAGATCGCCATTATTGGGTCGATGTATTTCTCTTTACTCAAACAAACTAAATGAGAGAGGTAGACGAGGAAAACTATTCTTAAAGAACTGGAGTGTTTTAGTTTTTAGCTTTGGGAGAGATTAACTCTGATAAACACAACATTATTTGAATATTATGGTCTTTTTTAAAAAGAGTGTTACAGCGCTTGCAACACAATAAGGTCATATAAGTGTCGAAGATAAGAGGTGTTACAAGAGAGTAGCAAAATCAAAAAAAGGAGGAGTGATCAGGACAATAGATGTTTGATAGGAAAGAAGTAGCAAACCACACCTGAGCACCCGCCAACCACCCACGAATATGGTCTACCTTGTATTTTTTGTTGATTGAGATAAAGATAGAAATCTATCTTGCAGTGAAAGAGGAAGGCTCTAACAAATGTTAGTGACAGGGGAAGAAATGAAAATAAAAGGCATCTACCGTTGCAGTGACAATCCTTATGCATCTCGCAAGGAGAAATTTGTCCTTGTTTTTTACGGTGGCAGCGGTTTTATCAAAGTTCGTGTACACTCACACTTGAACAAAACAAGAAAGTGCATAAAAAATACATGTCTCTGTCGCTGTCTGCTGTCCGTCTGTCTCTGTCTCAGTCTCTGACTCTCTCTCTCTCTCTCTCTCTCTCTCTCTCTCTCTCTCTCT